GGTAGCAGGAAGGGGGGGGATTACATGGACATAGTTATTGCGTGCAAAAATGTAATTAGATATTTAGAGAGAATTAACAATATTTGTTAGCACAATAAAGTGATTATAATCAACAATAAGTTATGGTATACTTTAAAGTAACGAAAAGAGTGGAACTGGAATGTTCCTAACACAAAGAAATGATAAATGCCTGAGGTGATGGATGCCCCAATTACCCTGATTTGATTAATTCATATTGTATGCCTGTATCAAAACATCAGATGTACCTTATAAAAATTTACAGACTAGAGACTAAATTTTACTCAAGGATTTCCCAGGACAAACTGGGTCCCCTTTAACCTTAAAAGGCTCCTTTTAAAATAATTCTCACTACTTCCACCACTACAGCGAAGCTTCTGGGAATCCCATCCTAGAGTCATCTGTCCTAGAGTCATCTTTCAGGGCTCAAATCTACAGGCTCTCCAGAACCTGCTCTTGCTTATGGTGAACTCCCCAGAACTATTTTTCTATCACAGATATCTGGCTCCGATAATATCCTGTGGCATATATGACTACTTATCTTGCTTTGCCTCCCCTTTATACTTATCCTGTCACTTTATGAATGCCTCCACAGCCCAGCTTACATACCAGACTGGTCATTCCTTCATCTATGCTGGGAGCCCTAGTAATAATCTTAATTTCCATCCCCCACTATGGGCGTTCTGTGTCATCACTAACTGCCTATAGTCCAAGAGGCTCTCTGCTTTCCAAAAACTGTGAACTCTTCTCATCATGTGTGATCTTAGGTTTCTTGGCTAATGCCCTTAGCAACCCTGCTTTTAGCTCTAATTTCTGAACCCTACATTCCCCACTATCTAGTGACATTCATATGAAACCAATTTCAGGTCCTAGCTATTTCTCTCCAGTGAAACCCCCATCCCATTTCTAACCTACCTTTCAAGACCCTTAGTTTTCAATCCCTCCCCCTTAACAACCCAAATGAACTCAATCAAGTAGGGACATCCATCATCCCTGAGTCAGCAGGAAGTAGTTACAGAAGAAATGAGACCTCCATCCGTGATCCCCAGTTTCCTGAGTTCATTTTTTTAACAGAAATTTAATTTAACCAAAAGAAGGGGGAATGAAAGGACGGTGGGTCTTGTGAGCGAAATGTATGAGATCTCTGCTCTTTCTCTGCTATCTCTCTGCTCTCTCCCTCCCTCTGCACCTAGCTAGCAGGTACACTGAAGAGCTCTGAACATCTCAAAAGAGCCCCCCAAAACAAAAGGAAATGTAAAGTTTCAACAGTTGCTAGACCTATTGACTAAAACTGCCTTTTTAGCATGTGTTTCTATAGCCTGGAGTAATTCCTAAGAAGTTCCTGAATGACAGTATGCGGGACAATTTCCAGACATCAAACCCAGCCCCAAATCATATCTTGAGGGCAAGATCACTTTATCCCTAAAGCAAAGGGAACAGATGCAGAAGTTTCACACAACAGATTCCATTATCTGCTTGCAGTTAAGAAGAAAAGGACCAGATATGACAATTCACAACAATTAACTATTTTTTTCTTTGTTCCCATGAAAGCAGCAAGCCACTTGGCCTGGCTGCTGGTGTCTCCCCTCCCTTTCTTTGGGATGCCACACTGTCTCTCTGCTCTCCCCCACCGTTCTCTGTCTCTCTCTCCCCCTCCCATTCTCTCTGTCCTTCTAAAGGATAAAATAAATCTTACTTTTATATATCTTGAAAAATATGCAACTATTATTTGGCCATAAAACTTTTTTAAAAAATTAAGAAAAAAGAATGCGTCTTGCATGAAAATAGGTTATCTGTTTTGATACTGCTTTATCACTAACATCTAGAAGAGTGCCTGGCACACAATACATTCTCAATGTTTGTGGAATTAATTATTATTAAATTCTAAGTCTTACTCATCCAATCTTACTTTCTATGGGATATCAATGTATACATGACAGTAGTTCTTTTTTCCAGGCAAACCTCACTTGATAATCAGAAAGGGGTCAAGTAGAGAGGAATTGGGAGTCTTGTCCAACAGTGTAACACTGGGAAAAGATATTCAGTGTCATATATCAGTAAATTTGCTAGGTGTTGCAAAATCCTAAAGCCCCAGTTGGTAGAACGAGGGGCATTATCCCAATTCCTGCCAATTTCTTAAAATTAAAGAGCACTGTTACCTTTGATTTTGTGCTGGGAGGTGTTCTTGACCCATAAATAGATCATCTGCATTTTATTCAGTATCTTCAAGCACAATGAGGAGATAGATTCCTGCATTTGTTTTAGCAAATAAGTTCAGCATAATGTTACATAATGTTAATATTGTGACATCTACCTATGTTCTTATGCAATCATTTATTTATGATCAATTTCAAATATATATACATATGATTTCATATCTAAATATTGAGGCATACAGGAAGCATGATCATAATACACTGGTAAAATATGTGTTCTTTTTTTGAAAAGATATGGTTGAAATAGAGAAAAGAAAGAATACTTGAGCAAGGTGTCCTTGGGGAAGCAAAGATGCAGAATTAGTAGATAACTAGGACAAAAAGAAAATGATAGTTGAGCCAAGGTCTCAGATGACAGCCATAATACTGGACTATGCATATTCACAGCATGGGTCATGATACAGAGCTGTTCCTAAATATATTGCATACTTATAATTCAATTACATAGGAATGGATTTGGATTTTTAAATTCCTAAAACAATATAACAACATAACTTTAATACGTAGGCTTTAATATTTATTTTAGGACTAATTGTGCCTTATTCTGTTACAGTGTATGTTTGTAGTTTAGTCCGTTCTATATTTATTCCCTGTAATTTTTGTAGGAAATAGAATGGCTTAAAGGCCCTTCCTTTGCCCCAGGTGTCAGAGCCAATCTTGTGCTAGTGTGATAATTCTCCACATTGACTACAGTTTCCAAAAACAAACAAACAAACAAAAAAAAAAACCCACAAAAAACTTGAGTTATATTCAGGGGATGACAGGCTTATGCTAACTTGTTGGGATGCTTTTCTCCTTCTCCCCAGTCTTGCTGAAGAAGAGAGGCATTAGAAAGGTAGAGCATCATAAAGTTCCTTCTCTAACTGTCCTCTATTAAGACAGGGAGATTTAGAATGAGTAATGAGAGGACAATAAATCATCATATTTCAATTAGTAAAATTCTCAATTTACCCCTTCCTTTCTGCCTAAGATATCCTTGGCACACCAATAAAACCATTTATTGTATTTATTTTAAGAAAATATTAACTTTTTACTGAAACCATAGGATAATTAACAGAACATGTTTTTAGGAAATGAAAAATGTCAGGAATAAAAAGAGAAATATATTTTTTAAAAATATCATTCAATGACACTTTACATTTGACATTTTATCCAGCATTTTATTTTCTGGCATCTATTTCATAGTAAATATTCTTATACTAGAAAATCAATTCACAGATCCTCAAATAATTTTGTTAGAATGTCACAGTGGGTAATTTAAATTTTTCTACAAAAGAATTAAATACATGTATTAACCTCCAAATTTAGCAGTTCTTAAAATTGTTGTTCATGTTGAGGAGAGATAATTTGACCACCTGGTGAATTTAAAAGTATAAACTCTATATTACTTTGAAAGTTCTATTAGTTTTACCTAATGCAACTTGTAATCCCAACAATTATATAGCATTTCCCTGGATAATCACAAAAAAGTGGTGAAAATTCACAGATACATGCTTTTTTTTTCTTAAGAAGTCTATATCATAAACAATCTAATATTATTTTATGATTTCACAACGTCTTCTGCATATTTACATTTCAGCAAGAGTTAGTTCCTATAAGGCATCATTTTGCAGAGTTGATTTGTCTTTTGCCATAATGTTGATATGCTGCTTTTTCTTTTTATATTCTGTTTTGATTTATGGAAGCAAGAAACTGTCAGAGACATATATTGGAAAAACTTATATCAAGAAGCAAATTTGCCAGTCCTTCTCTACACTTATGTAGAGACATCGTATGCTAAATATCCAGGTTTCCAAATTAATTAGCATAGCTTCATGTGGAACTGCCATATGATTTAAAACATATAAAAATACTTCTTTTTCTATAGCACTTCTGCAGTTTAATTACATTGCCAAGATTATCAACTGTATCTAAATCATGTTGGAAACATAAAAATGTCTGATAGTGAAAAAGCAAAAACAAAGAGGTAAACATCCAGTAGGTTAAGTCACATTTGATAACATTAGGTGACAGATATAATTTTCTTCCACTCAAAGGTAAAATCAAATATTTTTATGAACTATACCCAAATTATACTATATTACTTCTCATTCCATTTTAATGTCCTGAAATATCTGACATGTTCCACTTAGTACTTCAACATCTCATAGCATTGTATTACTTGTTTTAAAAGGAACATTTTTATGCTTGCAAATTAGCTATGAAAGGAATTACAACTTGAAATGAAACTCAAAATGCCAAAGAAAGCTGTTCCTCTTCCTCACATAAAGATAACATAGTTTGAAGAGTCAATATAGCAACTATGCACTATGGAGCAAATAAGGATGTACTGAGCAGTCAGAGCTTTTATTTTGTCAAAGTTGGCCTAACTCACAAAGTCAGAAAGAATTCTGTATGATTTATTACACTTGCACAAAGAATCTCAATTATTTGAACATCTAAGCCAGAAAGGATATTTACAGAAAATTAATTATTATAATAAGCACTTCTGAGAACACAAACAGAACACTTAGTGGAATAAGAATGGAATAGGAGAAGTAAACTCAAAATCCAAAATAAAAAAATAATTCCATTAATTATCCAAACACATGTACTGTTATTGTTTTCTTTTATAGACTTGGAGGAAAGGGCTTCTTGAGAACCCAGATTGGCTGAATACAGATCCAGAGATTATTATAGCATTCTGTATTTAAACACTAAATGAGATTCTTAGAGGATAAGTCAACCTAAGCTATGGCTTTCAGTCATGCAAGCAAAAACTCCTACCTTGCTGTAGAATTTTCTATATTGTCATCAGCCATCATCTCCAAATCTTGTGAGCGTTTCTCACAAGCCTCTTTGAATAAATTCTCTTCTGGAACTGCTTTAAGAGTATCTTCATTTGCTTGAAGATGTTCTATCAGGTTTTGTTGGTGCCAATTCTGAAGGACTCTTTGATGGGCAGGGGCTGGTCCTGGCACTGGTGCCAGTATATTGTGGTGGACAGGACTGTTGCTTTTCCTCAGTCCGTTTCTGTCCCGAGAGTGGTTCTTCAACCTGCCCTGAACCGGGGTCCCTCTATGCTCATATCCTTCCTGCTGAAGGCAGCTTACAGTGTTGGGCGAACCTTGAGAAGGATGACTAAACCACCTCCAGCGTAGCCTTAGGATCTGTTTCACATCAAACTCTTTCTTGCCTGACACAGACATTGTTGCAGGAGGAAAGACAAAAAAGCCTTCTCTCACAGAAAGGAAATGGAGCCTTTGTTATCTCTTGTTTCTCTGCCTCTTCTGTAGGGCTAACAAAAGCACAAGTGCTAGAGAGAGAGAGTGAGAGAGAGAGAGCGTGAGCAGTCTTTCTTGCTTTCTCTCCCCTCCCCCGCTGCCTATGATACACTGAATACTTTAGCCTTCTAGCTGAAGCAGAAAGCTGCAGCTAACAGTGTAGGTGGGAAATGGTGCTGACAGGATGATGAGGTCAGACCTTAAACAAGTAAATCAGCTTAGCACAGGAAAACAGCTACCACAACACACTCCAGCTGTTAGATCTGTACGCGCTCACAGCCTTCCCTCCTGGACTTGCAAATATCTAACCCAGCCTCTTTGGTACCGAAGTACAGTAGCTGAAGCTTAAACCCAGGCAAGTGAGCAAAAGCAAAGTGTTTAAACTCACTTCTTTCTAGCTTCCTTCCACTCGCTCCTCCCCTGCCGGATTCATTTCTCAGTAGCCCATTTCTAAAAATGTGCCACTTTGTCCTAGAAAAATTTGTGACAGGAATTCATTATGATCTATTTTGAGATTCTTTTTATGGAAATTTTTTAAGTGGTTCATTAAGGGAAAGCATCTTTTCATCAATCCTCTCGTGCATGTTTGTAGTTATTATTTACAAAACTCATCTGGAAATGTGAATGTCTCTATATAAACATTTACCTGACAACCTGAACAATTTCAGAAAAATAAAAAGTGTTGATTTTCCATGAATACACACACAGACACTTCCCCCAACTTCGAGATGTAGAAAAAGTATTTTAAGCCTACATATGAAGGAAGAAAATAGTGTTTTTCTAAGCTGGTTAGGTTAAAAAAAAGTCTTCTCTCAGTGACCAAAGCTTGAAAATGAATAGTCCATTCTGGCTACATGTCTGTATAAACAACCCCTTATCATGCCCTTTATGTTCAAAGGCAATGCTAAAGGTTTATTTTCTTTGGTTAAAAGCCCTTATGAGAGGATGCAACAGAGCATGTTTTGAATTAAATCCAAACAACCACACTGCTCAGTAATAACCATGCCCAAAGTACTTTGAGATCTGAATCAGAATCACTACTTTGTACAGGAGTAACCGTTTATACAACAGTCATGCATCAAGAATGCATTTACCAATGTCATTTTAAAATTTAGTTTGAACTTTATCCAGCTCTTATGTCATGCATACAGATGATAAGGAAGAAATTATACTAGTGTATCCTTAGAAAGAATATTGAAATTGTAAGGTTTGGGTTTTAGTTTTGGGTTTATGGTTAATAACCTCTGTGACCTTGAATAAATCGCTTTACTCCTCTGCATGTCAATTTTTTCATATATAATATAGAGAGGCTGAGCAGATTTCTAAGTTTCCACCAGCACTGATATGCAATGGATTTGAAAAGAACATAGAAACAGAATGAAATGAATATGTCTTTCTAAGTTCTGGTAAGCATTTTATCTGCAGTTTTCTTTAAATCTAATTATACCTTTCCCTTTCCCCTCTTGGTTTTTATTTGTTTGTTTGTTTGCTTTTTGTAGGTGTGGTGGTTAATTATATGTGTCAACCTGACTGACCAGAGGTGCCAGAATATTGGGTTACACATTATTCTGGGGGTTTCTGTAAGAGTGTTTTTGGATGAGCTTAACGTTTAAATTGAAAGACTGAGTAAATCAGATTATCCTCCCTAACTTGGTGGGACTCATCTAATCAGTTGAAGGCCTGAATAGAACAGAAGCCTGATCTTCCCTTAAATAAGAGAGAATTTCTCCAGCCTAACTGCCTTCAAACTGGAGCATGTTTTTATGTTTTTTTTTTTTTTTTTCATGCATTGAGACTTGAACTGAAACGTTGGCTCTTCCTGGTTCTCAAGCCTGCCGGCATTTGGGCTGGAACTGCACCCTTGGCTCTCCTGCATCTCCAGTGTGCCAACTGCAGATCCTGGGACTTGTCAGCCTCCATAATCATGAGCACAAATTCCTTATAATAAACCATTCTCTCTCTCGCTCTCTCTCTCTCTCTCTCTCTCCTCCCTCCTCTCTCCGCTCTTCTCTCCTCTCCCTCTTCTATAATATATATATACTATATCTATATATATATATATAAAATGCATACATATGTGTATATATATGTGTATACACACACATCAATTCTATTGGTTTGTTTATTTGGAGAACCTTGACTCATATATTATGGTAGTTTTTTTTCTCTTACTTGGAAATTATTAAGTACACACTGATAGACATGTAGTTGACTTTTATCTGACTTGCATACAGGTTATTCCCATCTCCAATTTGCCAACCTATTTTCCAACAAATTCCTTAACCTAAGTGTCAAAATCTGTAATAATCTATCTTTGGTGACTGTATGTCTGGTACTCAGCATTTAAATAACTGAATGAAATGTCAAAATTTATTTTGATGAGCTCTGGGCACATCAGTGAATACTGACAACTAAACAAGAATTATCTTTCTGTTATCTAGATAGGTAATGGTCCATGTAAACTCCTTGGGGTCTGTATCTGTATTTTAGAGCCACTGCATCTAAAATACAATTTTGCACATAAAGGAAGAAAACTATAAATACCAGACAAAATAAATGAAATGTTATAATAGAGATGTAAATATCATATAGTAGGAGCAAGAAGTACTGTCTTAATAAATTGTCCATCTAAGTAGCTCTAAATAATACCTTCTCTTGGATACTATATTATTTATTAACATGTTCCATGAGCTTGTTACAATTTAGATATAATTGTAGATTTGCATGTGTACCCCTTAAAATAAGATGAAGATTAATGAACATACATCAAAATCTCAACTTTGATAGCACAATACCATGTATGAATTTACTGAGAATGTGCTTTTTGAAAGTATGCTGAATATGGTCACTTTCCTTGATATTGAACACAAAATTGTAGAATGACTAGGAAAGTATATAGATCTTCTAGAAAAAAATTGAAGAGAATAGTATTTTACCAAGCACTAGGATTCTTTTTAAATTTCTCATTATAAAAGAAAACTTTAAGCACATTCAAACAGAAATGCAGAAAATGACTATGAAGATAGAAAGCATATCTTATCATTTCCTTCCCACTGCCTTATTATTTACTTCACAGATTGTAATATTTGACCTATGCAGAATTAATAAGTGACAAATTCTAATTGAATTTATTGTCATATGAATTTAGATTCTCAATAAATGCCAGAATTTTAAAATAAAAGAGAAATGCAAAACAGCTATGGGGCTAAAATACCCATCTAAATAATTACTGATTATACAGAGAGGGGAACCAGCCTACAAACCAGTTGGATATTCACAGCAATTTAATAGCCATGAAGTTCTCTTGATATTGTGCTCTGAGTAAAAACCTGGCTAGCAATTTAAATTAGTCAGATAATAGGACACTATAGTAGTTGAAATTATTCAAATGCACTTGGAAATACTTTGTTCTATTTCTTTCACATAATTATTTGATTAAACAACTTAAAAAAAACATAGACATTCATGTATTAAAAGCTGCATATCAACAACCTACTACAGTCCTGAGGTGGAACTATTCACTTTGCATGAGATACATTGGGCAGCACTAAAATGGTTAAAATAAAAGTAGTGCCTGATTTTGAAAGGTTTATACTAAACATATGACTTTAAAACTCTATCCTAAAACACTGACCCCAGAATCACTACAAATTTTGAAAGAGGTAAAAATAACATTAGTGTTAATTCATTGCCACTGCCAATATCGTGACCCCTGGGGGGGGAAAAAAGAATGGAATGGTGTTACTATAATAAAATTCCACTTATTTAGGTGAACAAATATTTTCACATATATAAAAACAAACAAAAATGAAATAATTGATGCTGACTCCTGTCTTATTCTAGCAATAAGTAACATTCATTGTTGACACACAGAGCACAAAAGCATCCCTTCTATCTCAAGTGTTGCATTCCTAAAGAAAATCTACTAATCAATATTTTCATAAAACATAAAATACACCTATATTGTTTTGTTTAATTGCATATTAATAATTATGAATCCTCAATAAAAATTATGTTTAGTGTCAAAGGAAATTTAAAACTAAAATTCAATTTATGTATATGTTTTTGTTGCATAAATTATGATATGATAATGAATAACACCTTTGTAAGCCAAAATATATAATATTAGGAAATAATTCTTTTAGGAAAGTTGAATGAAAATGTATGTTCAAGAAGAAAAGAAACTATTTGAAATTTTTGCTCCTAATGAAAAAAATTACTTCATATATTATTAAATGAATCATAGAGGTATCAAATCATCACAGTATTTAGATTCCATTGGATATATTTGAAAAAGTGATTTAAAAATTTATTTTGAAATACTAAGATTTAAAAATATGACTGAAATTGCATCTTTTCTTACTGTTTAAATTTCCACTGTAATATTTTAAATGTGAGCTTTATATCATATCAGGCTATACATCATTTTTCAAACTTTTTGTAGGGAGTATGTGGAGCAAAAATATTTGAAGACAACTGCTCAAGGCTAACCCAAGTTTGAAAGATTATCACTTCACTTTAAGCCACTTTTCACTGTTTCATAGTTAATTAGGAATATTCTTCAACGGGTTTTCACAAACCCCATTAATTCTCCTGTTAATTCCCATGAAATCTGACTGTTGTCCCTATTTCTACACTGAAGTTGTTCACTCTTATCCATCTGTTCTTGAACTTTAGTGGGCTAAGATTTTACATCTGTTATTTATTAAAAATTCACATTCTGATCCAGTAGTTCTGAAGTAGGATCCAGAAAACTGCCTTTTCAATAATCGCTCTAAGTCACCCTTTGCAGGTGGCCCACAGACAATTAATAAATTGTGTTTTCAAGTAACCAACAATGTAGCTGTAGGTGAACACAACTATTTCCTCTCCTTTCTCAGTTCCTTGGCAGGAATATTTTATTTATGCATTTGTTCACTCATTCATCTAACAAAGGCTTCTTGAGTGCCTACTATTTGCCAGACTCTGAGGATGCAAATACCATTGTGCCCACAAGAGCTTACCTTTTGCACTCTCAACCATCCCATGGTTGGTTGAAATCTTCTCCTCTTTATCTTTCATAATACATTGTTTCTCTTTTCCCTTATGTCTGTGCCTTGATTTACATTACTCTGTCCTTTTCACCCAAACACTTACCTATGGCCAAGTCTCAGATATCAGCCTTGTCCCACTTCTTTATCTTAAACATAAGATTTATTTATTTGCCCAAGATTCAGTGGTGATCTCTATGTCACTGATTTATAAGTCATTTTAAGCACTACTCTCACCTATACTTTGGTTCCAAAGCTCTAGGTGCCCACAAGATCTTACTATATAAAGAAGTTTTTATCTCTCTTTGCATAATGTGGTAGCAGTTATAGAAGAAACATTATAAGTCATTCTACATATTAATTACCTTGAGTTAAACTT